CGGGGCCCGGTGTAAGTCTCATATAACACAGGGGGATGCAGTTTTTTCATCCATAGAAAAAAATACTTTATAGTAACGCGCCCGAGCTACGTCAGACAGTGTGGCACCAGGTTTTGCGTATTTTTTGTCACTCCACAGATAAATAATGTCTACCCGTGATTTTATATCTTGTAAAACAAACCGCGCCAGAAAAAGTATGGATCAAACGGTTCCTGTTCCTTTAGCCGGTCTTTCTGAACGTTATTTTTTTTGGAGAGATTTAAGGTTTAAATTGGTCTTTTAATAAGACCGTTTTATTTTTAGTGAATCAATAAAATAAGTACGAAATGTACAGTAAAGGATCTCTAAACATAGTATGTATGTACTGTTCCATAGAGCTTCAAGACATTATTTCTATCAACATTTGAGAAGTTAAACATGAAAATTAGATGGAAACAAAAATACATTTTTTATTTATGTCACTAGTTTTATACCTTATTATTCTACATAAGATTATCCACTAAAACGAGTTAAATTCTATCTTGACTAACATCCTGTCATCTTAAACGTTCAGCTACGTGCGCGTGCGTCGGTCAGATTTGGGTACATTTAGATAAAGTCAGTAATCTCGACCCGAGACGTGAACTAACACAACAAATATTTGTTTGGGCCCGTGGCCTCACACCTCACGGGCATACCAACCTACTTGATGAAATATTCACAATTTACATACTTGTGATCCGATAAAAATTCTTGTGGACCCCCAAAATATCTCAAAGTAGATTTAAAAGACAGTAGTAATAAAACACTAAGGTTCTTAGCACATTGTGCCACAATATTTAACATAAAATAATCACATTTTCTTTGAACTACGAGATGTATTATTCGTTTGAAAGTGTAGCGTGATTCTAGAATAAAAGTATAATGGTAAGAGTATCGTAAATTAATCAACCTACTTGGAATATTAGTCCAAAATGAGCGTAACATCTTACTCGGTGGCAACTTGTAATCCTTCACATCACAAAATGGCTGATTACGTGCGACGGAACGCGCGCCGGTACGAGCCGAGCTTCCCAATTCTTTGTTTGGCAAACTTCCCAACACAAAGTTTGTTAATCGATAAAACGAACGTTTGTTTTTCTTATTAAATGTTTATAATAGACCCCGTAATCATTGTTTTGCTTATTTAATGACCGAGGATTATTTTTATATCCTATAATGCCGTGAAATTAATTGACCTCCGGTTGTTTAGGTGCACGTCAACTTGATGAAGCTATAGAGTAGTCTGAATGAGACAATATGGAAACGATAATTCTGAAATGAACGCAATATTGCTCGTGGTTTCCAGTAAAAACGTAAAGATTCGTTTAATGTTACACAATCCAGAGGAAATATCATAGAAAAAACAATATTCATTTTCACATACGCGAGAATGATAAACATGAAAAAATAATGCTCTGAAATCCCACCTAATTAATTTCCCATATTTTGTTCCAAGGAAATAATGAGATCCGCCCCCGGTTTAGCAGCGGATGAGGTGAAAAAAGGCATCGACAGAATCAACGAACGAAGAGGCTTTAATAAGATTCCGCAAAACCTGATCAATTTAAAATTAAAGCCACGAAACGTGTTTTTCGCCTATTTTATAAAAATCTCGGGATATAGGAACAATCTTCGACGGATAAGCTTAGGAAGGCGATATCATACGCAGAACAGATGGGATTTTTTAACCGCATATGCAAAAAAATCGAGACACAATTTTTACAAAGAATTTTTCACGATCCAATCAAGTTCTTGTTGAATTAAGGTAGCGTTCGCATGGCTAATAGATACATAATTGTAAGACGTATTACAAAGGGTCCCTATTGATATACCTTTTTGGGTATTCTCGTGTGAATATAAAATATGTTTTTAATTTTGCAAGAAAGTTTGTAGAAATAAAATGCATCTTAATTAAGTAACTATTCTATAGGTATAATAAAAATATTCAAAGTGAAATTGATAAAGCAAATAAAGATAGAATGACGACAGTAATCGCGTAATGAAGTAACACACAATAGAGCTTTAATAATATAATGCACACAGTACCATTTTAATCCCCCATTTAAATTCAATGGCAAACGCGGCAAGTGCAAGGCTAATCATCGCAATATAATGCTCCACCGACTCTGGAGGGTTGTTTTTTGTGTGCAAGTGAGACAAAAACTTTCTATTATTAAAAACGTAGTGTCGTAAAAGAGAGGGATGATGCCCGATCCATTCAAATTGACTTTAAATGATTGCCTCTACTGCTCTTTTTGTTTGACTGTGATGGATTGTAAATCGTTGCGTTTACGTTCAGCTTCACGTGCAAAATAAATAACTAATTATACAAGTACGTTTGTAAATATTTAGTAGTCAACCTCATCTTTAGAACAAATATTTAAGACCCAATTTTTTACGAATTAAAAGTACAATATAGGAAGAAGCGAGCCTATTGCCATATGCTGGTTACACTTTCTTAGCTAAATTTCTTAGCCATCGTCAGTAACTGGCTGCGTGGTAGATATTGGGGTTGCTTTGTACCATTGTAGGTGCTCGGGTATGGCTGACCCGTTTGCTGCTGCGATGCTTGTGTTAGTTGGGACGGTGGCTGGCGACTTCCATCCATACGAAATAACGGTAGATTTTCCATAACAAATCCAATAGCAATTTAATAGCCATTATCCTCAGTGGCATTGCGTCTCAAAGCGATATAAATATAACGTTAACCTCTGAGGTTCTGATGTCAAAAAAGACAAGATTTTTCGTTGTAATTCTGGTCAACTACTAGCATCCAGTCCCGGCTTCACATGAATGCAAAGCTGATACTAAATGTCTCCACTATTTAATGGATGTTATTGTATATAACCATAACTCTTCAATCACTCTACCTATAAAAAAATCGCATCAAAATCCGTTGTGTAGTTTTAAAGAATTAAGTATGCATAGGGACACAGGGACAGAGAAAGCGACTTTGTTTTATACTATGTACCTAGTGATTGCAATTTTTTTCCGGTGGAACAGGTTTGTTTCCATGTGATTTGTGTAATCTACACTTGTAACATACGTCCACAGAATAAACTCTGTGTAAACAAAAAAATGCAAAGAGTATCTTCATTCCATTTTTAAAGTTGTCGTCCCTCGTGCCATGTCTAATTGCGTAACTAAACACATAGGGGGCGCGTAATCCGATATTGATGTGTTTGTAAAAACTATCCGATTAGGCCCAGCACCCCAACCCGTGTCGATTTGCTTGTGATTATATTGCACAAATTGTTTTCTTGTAAACTGATTATTATGTTGGCTTCATTACAAAATTGAATGAAAATGGAAGAATAAAACTTCATATATCCCCTGTACCCTTAAAGTAAAGGTACATTTAATGAACATTTTGGAGAATTAAGTTATCTAAATCAACCCGCAAAAGACATTACCTGAAAGCCTATAGTTTTCTTATAGTACCTACACATAGGTATTCATTTACCTAACATTAAAATAATGTACGCAAATCTAAAAAACCGGCAGACTAGCAATACTTGTATATCTAAATAGCTACTTAAAAATTTATTTATATTCACGGGATCTCGGAAACAACTGTAATAATATCGATTAAATTTTTAACAAAATGCTTTAGGCTACCCTAAAGCATTACAGCAGTACGAAAAATCAATCTGACTGGGATTAATTTTCAAAATATAAATAAGTACAAAACATAGCTCAATTATTTAGATACAATCAAGATATAGATACAAAGTTTATTTACAAAACACGAATATTGCAAAAACGCGACGTGTAATACATGACATGACGTGTAGGTACAGGCGTAGACAAAAGAGCTGAATTGCGTGTCACGCGGGTGGGAAGTGAATAATCCCTAATTTTGTATACAAAGTGCGCCCACATTGCGTCACGGTCCTCCAGCCCGATCGCCTGTGACGATGGACCGCTTTTTATTCGCGTGTCACTCCATAAATAAAGTCATCAGCGAATACCACGTGCACTCTCCTCCATTACAAAGTATTGATGACAAAAAGTTATATAATTTTTATGACTTTGCTGTATAAATAAAAATTGTGCTATTAGTGATGTACATTTAAAATCGTTAGCTTTCATAATAATCGGATGTTCGAATAGTTCCGATATTTTAATTTGATTTTCGATTTCAAGTTTTTAACCATTTTCGTTCTATTTCTTAGCGCCTACAGAAATAAAAAAGCGGAAGACTGCATTTATTAACATGGACAAATCCTTTATTGTAGGTTCGTATCTGAGGACAGGAGAAGCTACCAGCTTCAGTATATCTTCATAAAATAAAACGAGCCGAATGACTCGATCGTATGCGAGCACGCGTCGCGAAATGAAAAGCGAAAACTCCCGTTTATTTTATTTACTGGCCGGATGGAGTTTAAAACGGAATTTATTCGCCAATATAAGAGTTCCTCGGTGGTTTCTACACGGATCAATGTGATTGGATGATACGAATTTAAATTTCGTTCAAATAAGGACCTTATTGTTTTGCTGAGAAGATCTATGCCAACAAAAAATGTTGAAACTTAAAATTGTCTTTTTAAATGATCGTAGGTCAATATTTGTTAAGTAAAATCAACTTTATTCTTTAGTTACCTATTAATTGTATATCGTCACATACATTTTGACAAATTTTCGTCATCGTCAATCTGAATATATCTAGTCAATCTTAATATATCTATTCAGATTGACGATGACGATGTTTGAGTTTTAGAGTGAAAATGGTGAAGGGAAAACGATGTTGGCACAGTTATAACAAAAACTAGCGTGATAGGACCGAGGAAAACTAAAACCAAAAAAACAAAAGACTAACATTTATTGAAAATCACGAGGTTACCAATGTTATTGTTTTTATCTGAGGTGTGTTTTCCTGTACTAGACTTTAAACTAGTAGAAATTTTCCCAGTTGATTCACGTGAGTAAGTCGCAATTATCAATAAATTTAGTACTCATTTCGCTAGAATAAGACTTACATTTGAGCTTTTCAAGCGGTTCGTGATGCAGCGGCGGTGCGTGATGGAGGGGTGTGTGTTGGGGCTCATGATGCAAGGGGGCCATGAGGCTTGAGATCGCAGAGCCCACGGACGCGGCCACGGACTCGTGCAAGTGACCCCCTCCGTGCAGCTCGAGCTCGGATAGACAGAGCCCGTTCTCGCTTAGCGGCTCCATTCCGGCCGCTAGCGCCTCTTTGTACACCCGGAGGTGAATGATGATGCCTGTTCTGACGGTGGTCGAAAGAAGCGCGCGCGCAGGTGATCGGTTCACGGATCACGCGCGTTTCCACATTCTTGTAACCACTGTAACAAAGATAAAAGTTATTAGTATGAAACAGGACAGATACTAAAACCTACTTCACATTTAGTATTTAAGTAACACTAGATTGTTGTTACGTTAATAATAAGCCTATGTCTTATTCTAGTATTCTATGCCTGTACCAAAATTCATCCAGATCCGTCCAGACGTTTTGGCGTGATTGAGTAACAAACATCAAAACATCTAAACATCGTAACTTTTGCATTTATAACAAGAAGAGGGAAGAGTACAAGTTCCAAATCATATAATGGAATATCACATTCTGTAACAAGGATGAGTAATAGTCTTAGATTGGAGCAACAAAGTTGAGTTGTAATTGTTTATAGCCACAATTACCGAGCAAACTCAAGATAAGTTGACAACAATGTAAACGTAATTAAACGCTGCAGTTTATTGGACGTCTGAGTTCTAACTTAACAATGAATATAAAACTGAAACCACAAACGAAATACCTGAAAAAAATCCTATAAAGCAACTAAACTAAACGAATATGTTATCATAGTCTATTTAAGTTAACTAAGTATATAAACAAAGTAACTAAAATCTTCCTGGTCGAACGAACTTCCCAACACGTATAAATCATTTTTAGTTAAAATATCAGTTTGATTTAAAGCGGCACACGACGTTGTTTGAGCAGTGAAAAAAATAAGCACCATAAAACGGTCTGATGGAGATATATCACTTTACAACTTTCATATTTCAAATAGCGTTGTCAGTGGACGGGCATTGGTGTTTCAGTGAGCACATAAAACCTCCCGTTATGGCTAGGAAAAGGTAAAAGTAGGAAAAAAGGGCACACGCAAATGATTTATAGCTTTAATTGCCTTTTACGCTGTAGTGCCTATCTGCGGCCGACGGGAATTCAATATTCAGAAATAAAAGCAAAGAGTGTCGAAGCGCCAATACCAATGGCTTTTGCAATATTCCCAGTAGATGAACTTATTTTTTTGCTATGGCTTTTTAATAAATTGTAGTCTCGCCTTTTCATTTCTCTGTTGTCCATTTTTATATGTATTGATTTTGTTTCGTTGCCTAAATATTAAATTAATTTTTGCTACTTTTCTTTCATTGCACTGCTAAGCAAAACAAATGCTTAACGCCATTGTTCTTTAAATTCAAAGAGGTTTAGTGCATTTAGAAAAGAGTTCTGTTGTGATAAGTATGCAAACTTTTTGCGAAAATTCCTTTTTATCACATTAAATAAAATAAACCTTTTCGATGTAGGTACGCAAAGGCTTTCTTAAACCTTATATTTTGAAGCAAATACGTAGATATTTGAAGTAAATAATAACAGAATTTATCAATAAGTGTTATTGAAAAAGCCTACACCCAAGAGAAGACCGAACTAGACTGCTACTTTTTATAAAGAAGAAGATGAGTTGATAGTAAAAACAGTTCTAAATTCAAGTTTAAAAGTAAGAGTAATTGAAGCTTCTGATGGTACATTTTCCAAGAACAAACAGAAGCTTCAACAAACTAACTAAATTGGACATTGCACTTGAACTCAAGCGAACTACACAAACTTAGAAATAAGCCCACAAAAACTATTTCAAGGTATAAAAAAAACTAAAAATATCTCGAAAACAAAGCAAAGCAAATATGACAGACGCAGTAATCGTCGCTCACACAATGCGATTGTAATCTTGACTAGGCGGTGAGTAATTGGGCAAAGCTAAAGGCAGCAATCGAGCCGCTTGAGCCACTCTCATCCCTTTAAACCGATGTAAAGCCTTTTTTAAGCCCAAAGATTTAAGTTGGTGAAAGTGCTTCGCTCTATTAAAACGCCATTTGGTTCGAATTTTACTTGGAAGTCGGATCGGTTTGATGTCCTCCGTGCAAGGAGGTCGGTTGTTGTCGAACTTTTCTGTACACACCGTTACTTTGAAACAGTCGTAACTGTTCTATAGTGAAATTATGGGCACTCCAGTGTTAGTTTAAGCGTTGTTTGGTTTTACAGTGATTTTGTTACGTACCAGTTTGTGTTGTAATGGAAGTAAATGAGGTGCTTTACATGTTGTTTTCAATTAATAAGCGTAAGTTCTATAATTTTGTTTTTGTGTGGAAAACAAGTGTCAAGTCAAGTGGCGCCATAAATGCAGTCTTACATACACTAAGTTAAATTAGACTGCACTACAGTCATCATGCAACATATCGCGAGTCAAAACAAAATCCTCAGCCAAGGATCTCATATGGTAGCAGCTTGTTCATAAAAAAAATCTGAAGTAGTTAATGATTAATCTCTAAAATACCTATTTAGAAATTTAAATTAAATTAAAGCTTCATTGTTACGTTAGTGTACCTAGAGTAGCAACAATCGATTCAATCAATTGGTAAAAATGGAAATACAAAAACACTTATCCTTGCAAAAAATACCTAACTACGAACAAAAGATAAAGATGCTCTTCACATTTTTTGTTCATCAAAATCTATATCTATATAAATAAAATATCTATAACATTACAACAAACCTATTACAATCATTGACAAGCTAATCATAAATAGTGACACTTTGAAGTTAACCGCTGTCACAAGTAAGTGAGGAGAAATCAAGAGCAAATGTGTGACACGAGATGTTAACAGATAATATTGAGTATCACCTGTGAAGTTATCTTAAATGTTTTACTCATCTTCTAAAGGATTCTAAAAGTCAATGTCTTGTGTTAACAAAATTTAATAACTATTTTTGTTAACACTAGACATTGTTCTTGTGTTAACTAAACAATTATTTTTGTTAACACTGGACATTTTTACCGCATTTCAATTCAATGATTTAATAGACACACACAGGCAACTGTAGGTAAACAAAATTACTAAACTGTTCAAATGAAATAACTATTCAACAAAAGCAACTATTTAAGACAATTTTCTTTTTTTTTGTAGTAAAACCATCAAATGACTTTCATTGCTCTAGGAAAGACGAGAGGGTGCGTCAGACTATTACTGACTATAAACCCTATCGTTCCTTCTCCTGCTTCAGGCCGGAGCCACCATCGCGTCATCACAAAACCATCTATCATAAATTTAAAAAGGATTTCAATTTAAAACGATTTACCTTCAAAGTTTCTTTGACTTCTGTTAAATATCTTTTTTAATGATAGCTTATCTGAGAACTAACGTGAATTAACCGAAAATTCTCTACCAATTAGTTTCAAGTCACTACGACGCAAATGCTCATGAATAAGAGTCCCGCTATCACTTGAAACTAGTAGTGCTATACTCAAGTTGTTATTTTTAATAAATTTTGAATGTGTCTCGATAGTTACTATAAAAAATATGTTACCTTTATCTATTAACTGTAACAATAATGCATGTAAAACACATGTAACATGGTTGATAGCAAACTTGTAAATATTTGAATGTCTATTGATAACATCATGTTATGGCATTGTCAATGAGCTGATACCATCTCGACGTAAGAAACACTTCGATTTATAGATAACGTCTGTTTGTAAACGACCTTTATTTTTAGATGGTATAGGTACTAAGTAAATATTTTCAAATATCACAAAATTTGTGGTTTTGGAAAAATGTTACGTATATTTTGTAGGATAGGGTGGAATTTTGTTTGAATTACTCCTACCCGTTTACAGACACAATAAACTTGCATGTGATTTTGAACTACTTTAAATTTATTCGTACAGCATAAAATTGTGCTGATACTAAGAAAACCGAACATAAGATTTTACGAATAAAAGAAATAAGAAACCACTTTAACAGATAACTGAAAGATTTAAATTAAGACATTCTATAGTAGGTACATACCCAACCAACCTCTTTAATTGCTTTATTCCTTTTAACCGTTAGTCTGACGGTATATGAGACACAATAGAAAACACATTGTGTCTCGCGTATATCTGCGCTCGGGTACCACGGGTTAAACTTTACATACCTATACTAAGTTTAATAAAGTCGGCACTTCGTTACAAATTCATGCACCATTCACAATTAACACTACATAATTATAATTCAATATATTATTATTATATGTAATTCAACTATCACTTACTATAAAAATGTATACTTTCTTATTCCACTTCTTACAAAATTGATTATAAATCCCTCAGCGTGCTCGCTATTTGTGATAGTATGAATTTCATTGATAAATAAGTTATCTAGGCATGGTATGCTGCGTCTCTTTCCAACGTATATAAATAATTCAAGGTCCTATCTCTTTCTTTCGTTGACAAATCACTTGTTTATCATATTATGGAATTCCGAATGTTTGTTGCCAAAATATTAAATCATAAATATGCGGGAAATAGGTACAAGTAGAAAGAAGTACATGGCTTTTGAATCCTACTTAGGAATCTGAATAGAATCATCGTGTAATTCATTGATAATCACTTCCTAAACTTACTAGGTATGAAGCAGGTTACACTAAGTTATTCTAAAATTATCTAAATCAGTAATGTCATACAATCTAAAAAGGTGAAGAATCTCAACAAGCAGTACCTACCTAAATTACAATTATTTCTAAATATGTAAGTGATACCTTGATTTTTATCTTTTTTCTAAAGGAATGTATATAATTTATTATTTTTCAATTTAAACAAAATCCTGCTAAGATTAACTTACCTACTAGGTATATATCCTCGGGAACTAAAATATCCAAGTTAGACGTCGTATTGTCATGTTTATAAAAATAAAGAATGTGTTCCTTTTTTATATTTTTTTATAACAGGCATAACGTTTAGCAAACTATACACTTTATCACCCTGAAACTAACATCATATCCAATTAACAAACTTAACGCAACTTAAATTAATAACATAACAACATTAAGATTTACAAAATGTTGAAATATAAATGTTTTTGGGCGTAACCATGAACACAGAAGTAAAGGTACGAACCGACGTCATGTCAATTTATCTGCATGTTATCAATTTAACACAGAGATAAAATTATCATTCTGATAGGGAACGCGGCGCACCAACGCTGAAACTTGTATGTTTACGGCTATTTTTGGTATGCGGTTACAAGGATTTGGTATACTTCAAAATTACCGCATTACATGTAGCGGAATTAAATGGCGAAATGCACCTAAGTACTTATAAATGATTTTGTCAAACGTTTTTGTGTTTTTACTGATTATTATGTTTTATAACTTAATACATTTGTTGGTAATTAATAACTTAAAACACACATTTAATCAGGAATATTAAGTCTTCATCATCGAGTGTATAGACTTACACTCTATATTTCATATAGAGTCTACGCTTATTATAAGGAAAGATAGCCATGGTTCAAAATCAAAAACCACCTTTAAATTTCATCAACAAACCAGACGGTATCTTAGTACTGTATAATGAACTAATCTACTTAATAATTACTTAATTACATAATGTAATAACAATTGCAATGTGTAATTTTAATTATCAGTATTTATTACCTACATAGTTCGTTACAGGTCGATCAAAAATATTTATTATTTTTATAAGTGAATTTTATTGCCTATGTTTTTTAATTATTTGATGGTCGATTTTCTCCTGTATCGTGACTGCATTTACAAAGTACTTTATATTGCACACATGCACAACAAAATCAGACACGGAAAAATCTTTATGTGATTAGGAGAAAGTTGTTCCATGCTTGCTTCCGTGTTTTTTATGTGATTAGTCGGCAAACGAGCAGACGGATTACCTGATGGTAAGCAATCAGCGCCGCACATGGCCAACAACAGAGGAGTTACGAGTGAGGTAGGTACTGACTTTTTGGGGAATAGGGATTTGGAGATTTAGTGATAGGGGAGTTATTGGAGGAGGGGAATAATTGAGCCTCCGGTAACCTCACTCACACGGCGAAATACAACGTAAGTAAGTCTTGTCGCGCTGGTTTAATGTGAGGCCGTGGTATCACTCCGGTCGAGCCGACCCATTCGTGCCGAAGCATGGCTCTCCGACAATCAAACTTTACTTTCTTATTTCTTGTGACTTTATGTTACTGAAGGATTTATTTACTATTTTCAGTAAGGATTTAAATAGCTAGTAACAATGTGTTTAAAAAATTAGCACTTAGTAGGCATGAATGTTTTCTTTATCATGAAGGAAATAATCTATGTAGGTACTTATATACCTACTTACAGCGAATTCACTTCAAATTTCTCACTTTTCAATGTTTGAGCAAGGTTACAATAAAAATATTTTTAAGACAAAATTATACTTTGTATTTTACTTCTTCATAGAATTCTATGTGAAATTACTTTTTTTTATATTTTTTTTAACAATAAGAATTACAGCTTGGCTACACCTAAGTAAGGTTATTATTGCAATATTTGTTATTATCAAGGAACTCCACCAGAGATAGAAGTAATCTAGTTCATTTTAATCAATAACGATACGATTTTATCAAAATCAGCTAACTGCCGTGTCGCAGCATTGTTATTTTTGTTATTAATTAAATACATAATTATTGTCTATAATGCAATTGTGAAAATACAATAGCGTATAAAAATCGACCTTAATGGTTCAAAGTTTTGGTCTTTATTGCAGTTATCGTGCATTCTCTATAAAAGTTCTGTTGAGTTTGCACCAGGCAGTAAACTTTCATCTCTTCTCTCTTATCCGTCTCCTCTAATATCTATTAACAAGCAATTCTCATTTTATAAATATTCACATAATCTCGAAAATGGCTCCAACGATTTTGATTAAATTTCGGAATCAAAAAATCAATCATATCATCAAAGTTACATTTTCATAAAAAAAAAAGACTGACGCTAACTTCGGTCATCCAGGTACCTACCTACTGTCATATTAAGTTGCAGGAATGTAAAATAAATATATTGTCATAATAATATTAATTGGAAGAAGAAGATTAACATTAAAAAAGGTTCCTGCACCAGACCGAAGCCGCGGTACCTACATTATTGCGCTTGACTCGAAAACTCGGATAATCATACCATACTGTTACCTAAATGTCCTATTTTTGAACGTTCCTACCTAAAAGTGCTAATAGTGCAACGCAATTCTATATTAAAACTTAAATAATATTCAATATGATGTAGAAGATAGTTGCAATTTCCGCTGCAAATACCTATGCAAAATTACAATTGGATTATAGCTTATCATCACCAAAAGTTAAGGAAGAAAATATTTATAGCTCATTTGGCAGGTGGAAGAAAATTTAATGGAATTCAATTAAAGGTACTTTGTTAAACATAAAAATAACATATATGTTTTTTTTAGAAGATGTAGACAAGCAAGCTAGCCTTTTTAAGAAAATATTAGTCGTGAATAATCAAATTGTTTTAAACAGTGCTACAAAAATCACAAAATTAATATTTTAATATTAGGTATAATATGGAACAAAATGTATACCAATATTTTTTCTGCTATATAGAATTGCAGAAATAGCAGATACTCTGATTAAAATTACCCAATAATTTTAACTCAGCATCTAATCTAGGCCTATATTTAGTTATTAATAGATTCAATAAAGTATTAATAAATTTTTACAACGCTATATTGTAGCCTTGTAGGTATGTTATAATAATTTTATTTTATTTTCTAGGAAAGATAAGTTGGAACTTTATTATGAGGCGAGGTGAAGTTAAAGTTATGAGCGTTTCTTGGCAAACGACGGAACAACTTGGCAAGTGAACAAGCACTTTTCAACTTACTTAGACATTGTACAGATTTTTCCTGATCCAATGTGCATTCAAGGAAATTATTCTATGTGTGTTTAATTTTTACATTACATTACAACCTTTTTAATATTCAAAGAGGTTGGTAAAGGTGCGAAACCTAATGTAGCATATACTTTTTACAATTATTATTGTGTGATATATATTTTTACAGTTTAGGAAAAAAAATCTTAACTAATAAGAAAAAGTTTTATGTTAGTATATTTATTGGAATATTTGCATTGAAAAAAATGGTTGTTAATACCCTCATATTTAAAAAAAATAAAGACTCTATTAATCTGTTAAAAAAAATAAGTAACTAGATAACTTGGAATATTTTTTCAAGACATTTCTACTATAAATATATACTTAAATGTTTAAAATTTCATGCAGGCGAATTAACAGGAATTAATTACATTGTAATATTATATTTAACATTTATTTAGTCAATGTGTGTGTTTATTTATGAATGTGTAGTGGCCCTATAGATTAAAAAAATCTGCCAGTTAGTACCAAAATAGATATAAAAAATAACAAAATAACAAAATAAAAAAATGACAATTAATTTTTAATGTTTGTTATTCAACTGTTTTTTGGTGGCAATCGATCCCTTGCAGTTAATAAAATAAATCTTGACAAAGAATATGATCATAGTAAAATTTCAATTTATACTTAATTATTAAATGTATTCTTAAATTTCTAACCACTGCAACACTGACTCAGTAAACTAAAACCAGGTAATAAAATAAAATATTAAATATAAAATATACCTATACAATGATTCTTTTTAGCAATTTGATTATTTTTCTTGAAATATATACATAATTAGGTCAATTTTTTTTAAATACATTTATTCTTATATTTCAAAATGATCCTTTATTTGAATAATTTGTCTACTGTTTAGTTACAGTACCTACTTACGTCTAAGAAATCTACGTTTATTTTAATTCTTTGTATATTAGGTACCTGATATCTGAACATACATCTACAAAATTATTTATATTTTTTATATTTATATTTTAATAATATTAGTTATAAAATATTACTTTTATTGCGGAAGTAGAAGGTTTTTGTCATCCATATATAAAAATTTTAATAAGAAAAAGTATATTTCCTTTTTTATAAACTGATTTTATAGAGTAGAATAATTCTGAACTTTATTTATATTTTTGCGTGTAGGTTTAAAATACCTATAGACATATCCCTTTCCAAATATTGTAATTAATTATATGTATTTTTCCTGCCAGTGACAATATGGTTGCAGGAGGTTCGTTGTTGAAAGGAGTATTTAATACAACTTGTAGGTACCTAAGTATATTTAACATTATGCCGTTGTAAAATTATGGTGATCTACTCTTGGATAAGTTCTTCCTTAGTATCCACTACTCATTAGTTCTAGGCATCTATTATAACTAAGTACAGGAATTTAATAACTATAATATTCCCAGCGTAAATATTGGCAGCTCAAGTTAAACAAGAATAAGCATAAGCTTTACCTGTTTGTCGTAGATATACCTTCTACTACACACATCATAATACCTAATTAAGTGGGATTACATGGTCACTTAAATATACGAGGCTGTCTTAGAACTGTCTTAGTTATACTAGCGCTCTGTACCAGCCAGGAAGTACCTACATAATAACAGTTCAACGATATTTACTTATTTATTTACAAATACTACAATCAGACAGCGAACACTGAGGATTTAGCCACGAACTTGGCAGTTTCCAAAGAAAATATCTCATTTCTGCTGTCATACGTAAAGCTAAACATATGAAAGATGTGACAGTGAACATACTCACAGACAAATATGAGAGATGGCGCGGACAGGTGATGCTGGCGAGCTGGACGGGTCCTCACAGTTTGTGTACACGCAATCCGATGATATCCGTCATAATCTGGTACAAGCCGCGGATTAGACGACCACGCGCACGCCCGTCACCCACTACCGTATACACCAGAGAACAAACCAAATACGAATCCGATACCGATAAATCAAAGCGCACGATCGCGGCGACGTCGCTTATCCGCTAAATCCTGTCGGGATCGCGTAAAAAATACTAGTATTAAAAACAGTCTTAAGTGGGCTTACGTACGCGGCGCGTTGCGGCCCGCGCTGGCTCTAATCTCGGCCACTTCCCGGACCAATTTGAACCTAACTCCACCACTCTATACATCATCCGGAGCACGCCCGCCCACCGCGCCGGGCCCAGCCGCGCGCGCTCATACCCTCGTCTCTTTCCCTCGCACCGTTCCCCCTATACCTGTCTCCCTCGCCCTGAAATCTCGCCACACTGAAAATTCAGTGCGTGCAGCGTCGGCGTGCGGGGAGGGGGACGCAGTCAGCTGGCCGAACTTGTGCGAATAAAATCGACTTTTTATCGCCTCGATGACGCTTCGTGACGTCACTGTTTACTTCTGCCCGTGAAGTGTGGACACTGGATCTTTGACGGACTACTGTGACGCAACCGCGCTCACATTTCTTACCTTTGGGTAATATTCCATAACACTGGTTTGTTTTACTATAGTATAGTTCTTTGATTTTAATTATCTAAGTTGCTAAGTAACACGAATAATAAGATAGTTTTACCTTTATTCGAGGAATAAGTGAATCGAACTACATCATCTGCATTAATAAATCGCGTTGTAAAAACTCATTTAAATTGTGTAATATGTTTTCCTTATAGCGTAAAATAATTGCAGTTTAAATCGCGTGGCGTGCACCGGAGTCGGGCGCAATAAATCGCTAGCTCGCTCCCGGTTCGCAACGTAAACAGATCGGGCGCATTAACCGCGCGTCGGCGTACATAAAGAGAGCGGTATAAATATAAAGTTCCCACTCGCCGCCGCGCAAACTTAGCTAAACAACGCCATAATTGCCTTCATTACTTAAATTACTGAAATTATTTATTCAAAAAGCTGGCAACATTTAGCCAGTGACGGCTCCTCCCTCGATACAGCACTGGGCCAATGGACAGTGGCGAGAGCGCGGGGGGCGGGGCTTCCGCCAATATGGCGGCAACCTTCTCGTAGCGCTCGCTCCTGTACGCTCGCCGCACGTCGCCGGTGCATGCTGTTTCAGTCTGTTTTCACGCGTCGACTTTCACGTGTTTTCGAGTGGTTAATTAGTTTGGCATTGTTAATGAGTGCGACTGTAGCAGGCAGTGGAGCGGAGTGGTCGCTACGCAGCCTCTACGCGGCGGCTACGAGCTACGTGCGCGTCTGTCCGACGACCGAGCGATGCCGTCGGCGGCAGTCGTATGGTCGCCGACGGCAATCGGCCGACGGAGACATGAATGTTCCTGCACCGTTAACCATAGCTAGATACCTACTGACCTTCTATATGGTTCAATAGTAAAACGTTCAATATCAAAACTGTGTTAGCTAATAACAAATAAAGTTTTTCAACATCTTTATTTTCAACTTCTAGTGATTTTAAGTACCTAGGTAAAAAATACAAACGTACTTTAAACTTAATAACTGACTCTATGGAATATTGCAAACAAGTCACGCAAGTAAGACAAGCCAAGCTAAGACAAGGTTAGAAATAAATAAACAAAGTACATTACGATAGAAAAAAAAAACAAACTTTGCTCAAGCATCCTTACCTAATAAAAAATCCCTAACATTGATGGATAGTTTATTTTATTCATTCATAATTTAAATTGATAAGTATCTGTAATTGATTCAACAAAGATAGGTAATTGTTGTAATTTACAGGGCAATTTTAATTACCAATAAGTAGATACAATACACTAAATATACAGTAATAAAAGAAGTGTGGGAGAGCCATGCTTCGGCACGAATGGGTCGGCTCGACCGGAGTGATACCACGGCCTCACAGAAAACCGGCGTGAAATAACCACTGCGTTGTGTTTCGCCGTGTGAGTGAGGTTACCGGAGGCCCAATCCTTCCCCTTCCCCAATCCCTCCTCAATCCCTAAATCTCCAAATCCCTAATCTCTTAAAGGTCGGCAACGCACTTGTAACACCTCCGTTGCGAGTGTCCATGAGCGGCGCTAATTGCTTACCATCAGGTAATCCGTCTGCTCGTTTGCCGACCTATTACATATAAAAAAAAAACTGTAGACGGAGATATAGTTGTATTGTTTTTATTAAATATCCATTGCCGACTGTATCATACGTTTATAATAAATGCACGTTTAAGTAATTATAAATCCAAATATAAACAATGAGGCTTTAATATAAAATATACCTACACGCATAACTATGAAAAGTAAAAAATGTAGGACAAGGTTTGTATGTAAGAAAAATCTCATACATTCACCGGGAGCATCGGGAAATAAAACTGGTAGACGTAGCTGCGGCGGAATACTGATTTAAATAGGTACTAACAAATACTTGTCAAGAAAATGACTGCTCGGTTGGTGCGGTGGCTGGGCAACTGGCTGCCGTGCAACGTGTCGCGGGTTCGATTCCTGCACGGAACAACTCTTTGTGTGATCCACAAATAGTTGTTCCGGGTCTGGGTGTCATGTGTATGTGATGTTTGTAACCGTACCCACGACACAGGAGAAAATCCTAATGTGGGGCAACATTTTTTTTAAAGAAAGAAAGAAAGAAATCTTCATATCTATACTAGGCGAAAACATAACTACGTCTTTTAATCCGAATCAAACTTTAAGCAGCCTTTTAAGTTATCATACATTTATTGAAAATAACTACTTACACATGTGAATTAGCTGAGAAAAGCTATATTAATTTTTATTCACAATGAGACTCTTATTTACAGGCAGCACGTGCAATGCTGCGAAAAGAGCTTTTTTCAGTTTTTATTTTTTTAAAACGTTAGCCCTACCTTTTGCAGATTTTTCGATAATAAAATATCTGCCACACAAAAACATAGATATCTCACACTTAACTTGATTCCGAAAATTCATCAACTTTGCTACAGTAATTGAGACTTTACAGACTTTTCAATTTACATATACTACATTTTTAAACTTTGTCAAAAACCGTATTCCGAACTCCAAGAAGATAGGTTGGATAAATTAAACATACAAAAAAAAAACATTTTATCTATTTAAGAAAATTACAAACAATTAATAATAAGAATTAAGAATAAAAACAATATTACACCAATTTCAGGTGAAATACATAAGGAAATTGATAATATTTATAACCCATGATATATATTATATTAAATTAAGTATATTTATTTAGTTCACAAGCTAGATAATGAAAATACATTAATCACATATTTTACTATGTTCCTGTAACTAAACAATACTTAGTTAAAACGAATTAAAGTTTAGAATGGGGAACTAGATACTACATACAAAGTAAAAAATATACCTCCTAAAAATGACATCACACGATATTTCAAATAAATGTATCGACAAAAATACAAATTCCTTATGCAAAGAAAAAGAACGTGTCTATAGTTTTAAATTAATCAAAGAAGGACATAAAGAAAAAAATATTTTTTTTATGTACGCGTATTGTGACGTCGCTACGTCATCCCTCGTCAATGAGAGTCTTTTTAAAGAGACGTCTGTATCTTAGTAAAAATAGACTTCTATTTATAACGAGGATAAAATAGACGGTAAAAATGTAACATACTTACTTATAATAGGTTACATACTTAAATATAGTAAATAGTCGATTTAAATTTCATAAACAAGAAGCGGGAGTCTCTGGAATCGATAACTTTTTTGTTGAGAGGAGTTTATCATCTAATTTATAATCCGAACCGCTAAGAGGTGGAATTCCTTGCCGGAGTCAGTGTTCCCCGAAGGGTAAGGCCCTTGGCGTCTTCTAAGCCTGAGTGGTTAGGCATCTCCTGCTCGAGGCCGAACCCTCGATACCTTATTGCGCTTGACCCGCTACTTTGACTGAATATCAGCCCTGTTGGGTCCCTTATGTGGTTTCTGATATTCGACTTTGTTATAGAGATAATACGAAAATATAATAGGTAGGTCGAATATCAAAATTATAAACTGATTTTTTTAAGGGAGTTCAAACCAATTACTTGCGGATATGTTTTGTATTGTTGGTGTTCGATATTTAAAATTTTTACCAGGCAACTGACCTTCTTCGTGTTTTATTTAAGTTGCACAAAATTCAGTTCGAGGCAGACTTAATGATAAAGGCGGTTTTTGACAGTCAAACTTTTCAGTGATCCAGCGAGAAGTCAAAAAATATTTATTAATTATTGGTTTCTACCGTATAATATTCGTTAACATTGACCAGTAAAAATGACAACCACAACGCTATTGTCAGGATTTCGTGATGGTTATATGTTTTTAAAATAAAAAATAAATAAAAATGCATTTATTTTCCACCACTAATGTAGGAACAGTTTAGACAGTATATAACAATTCAAGAGGGGACTGGAGCCTAAACTAGGGAATCCCTGTATTTCAGGACTCCAGGTCACTCGCCTGCGGAACAAGTGCCTATTGGATAACACAGTAACAAGGTGGTGGACAGGTATTTGCTTTGTGTGTGTGGATTATATTGTAATGTTTTGATTTAAGGTAAGGTATTAATGGGCTGCTATTTTTATTGCTAGTTATATTAAAAAAAAGAAGGAAGAAAGAAAGAAAAGAAAGAAAGAACCGACGACGATTCACCTGATAGTAAGCAATCGGCCCACTCCCAACATTGAAGCGCTACATGTGGGTTGCCGGCCTTTAAGAGATTTGAGGAATACTTTTGGTTTGGAGACGAGGGAAAAAAATGTAACCTCTTGTAACCTTACTTTCACACAGTGAAACTAAACGCAAGCGTTAATACACGCATTGGGCAAGCGTGTGAGAAGAGGCCTTTGCTCAGCAGTGGGCACTTATGGGCTGATGATGAGATCCTAAGTTATACTCGTAACCCCAACTGTGGATAGAAAAACATATGCCACGTTCATAAGATTTGCATTCATTCAATAACAAAACATCGGCATTACAACCGGTACTAATATATTGTTACCCCACCGACTAATATTATTGATAGTACCCTCTCCCCTCCAAGCTAATAAATAATCACACCCATGGGACATTGAGTTTACGTTTTAAACTTGCAATTATTGCCGAAGATATCTTTAGGAAAATATGTATATAATGGTTCTTTAATTTATCAAATCCCAAGTGATCATGCACCTATTGTTTTTTGAATAACCACGATTGAAAGATTAATAAGCTTTAGAAGATGTTATTAATATATGTATTTTAAAAATTATAAAGAAGTTATACTTAGATATATTTTTTTATAAACGTTGCCTAATATTTTCTCCTGTGTCGTGAAATCACACCTAGAGCCGGAACAACAATTTGTGGATCTCCCAAATAGTATGCAGGAAGTATGGATTTTTCGCCTTACCCGAAAATCAAATAACTCGACAATTACAAAGGCTAAAAGGCAGTGAAAACTTATAAAACGACTAATGATTCAACCTTATGAAACCTTGATTAGTTTCCTTAACATTTCAGCTAAAGTTGTACCAATTTACAGTTTGTAACTTTCAGTCTTCATTTCTCCCCTTCGCTATAAATCACAAAAGAGTG